TTTTTTTTTTTTTTTTTTTTTTTTTGTTGGGTCGGGATTAAATGTGTGAGATGGTATTTCTTGTTTGGATTCAGATGTTTATTAGTTCTTATCTGTATTACAGTCTCACAAACCCTGAGTTCTACAGCACTTCACTAACAAACTACAAAATGGAGGGGTATCTCTCTCTACAAGGTCTTTTAAGGATAAGCTGTTAAATAAGAAATGACACTTAAATTATTTTTTCTTTTAACTCAATAACTAACTACTTGTGACTTGCAATGTGGACTTTTTAATCCAATTACACAATATTACTTAAACTCATGAAGAAGAAGGTGAAGAAGAAGGACTAGTTTCTGCTCTAAAATTTTTATCTTGCTTTATATATATTACTATGTTTTAAAATCTTAAACTCTAAGTTTTTTACAATGTGATATTACACACTTTTATTCAAACTACACACCTATAATCTTAGTTTTATCATTTAATTTTGGAAACCTTTTCTATGGCTTCAGGTTAAATGTAGTGGTTTTTGGAGGTCACTGTCTGTCTGCAGAAAGTCTAAAAATTCTCAGTAACCAGGGTTCCAGCATGGACTGTTTGATATTGTCATTGCAAAGTGTGCAGGCTTCAAAAAAATGGATCAATTCACCTGTTTGCAGTGGTCTCCTGCACCTGAGGTCTGCTCACCTGAGAGATGGTTTTTCAGTCCCTTCCTGTTGTGGGACTGGTGGGGCCAGGAGGGGAGCAAAAGCACAGGTCACAGCCCACATCCTCAGGTGCCAGGGCTGAGTGTTTGGAGTGTGCAGATGAATCCTCTCCTGGCTACAGCTTTGGGCCAGTGAGTCACTGTGTCATTTCCAGGAGTGTCCACGATCTCCTTTTCCCATCACTACCTGAGTGTCTTTTCTCTGTCCTAGGGGCTGACTTTTGAGGAGGTGGAGAACTTCTTCACCTTTCTGAAGAACATAAATGATGTGGACACAGCTTTGAGCTTCTACCACATGGCTGGAGCTTCTCTTGATAAAGGTACTAAAAGCTGTGGGGTGTTCAGGTGCTGAAAGCCTGAGGGAGCACAACTCATGCTGTGTCTTTGGAGTTAGGAAGATGTCAGACAAGCCCAGGCTGACAGGTTAAAAATGTACCCAAATTGCAATTCCTCCCTGTAATGAGGTGCTTAGCTCACTGCATCCATGGATTAAGAGGGATTGCAGGTTTTATACTTCCAGAGTTTTAGATACAGGGAGAAGAAAGGCTGACATGTGTAGCCTGGATGGATGAGGAAGCAGTGATTTCACAGTGGTACCTTCAGAAGGACCTTTCTGCTGTGTGCAGAGGCAAGGTGACCTAATGAGTGTGCCACAGGCTGTGGTTCCAGATCCCAGGGACACCACTGTTTCTTCTTCATCCCCATCTTCTGAAGTGACCTTTTTTCCTCCTCCTACAAAGGACTTCAAAAATGAGTGCAAAAGAATTCTTGCAGAGTTATCTTCTGTGGAGGTCTCTGATGCACGTGGCAGAGGCACAGCAGCAGTGGGGCTGGTGGTAGGAACTGCTCAACCCCTGTTTTGTTTCAGCTTTGCTCAAAAATCATGGACTTTGCCTAGAAATAAGGGCTGGATGCTGCATTTCTGATTGGGAAGCCAAGCAGTGGCAAACACCTTTGGAGCTCCTGGGAGTGATGGAGGGAAAGAGGGGGAGCACTGGAACACCACTGAGGTCCCAGACTGAGCATTAAAATCTGTCCAGAGACTGTATTTCAGATAACCCACAGTGCAGAGGAGTGGGCTGAATAAACCTCAGAGCTGGTGTTTCCTGGGGACCTTGTAATAGTGTGGTTTATTGATCAGACCAATCCATATCCTTCCCCTTCTCATCATGTTTCATTTTCTGAGCTGGTCTGTCTCAGGTTTGCTCTTAGATCTGACACACTGATTAAAAAAAAAAAAAAAGGCAAAAAATCCCCAAAATATATTTCAAACCAAAGTCCCACTCTGCTGCCAGGATCTGTCACAAGTGCTTTGGTCTTTGGGTTTTTTTAAGAGGGATTTTTTTTTTTTTAACAGACTGAGAATATTAAAAAAAGATGGCAAACTCATTAAAAGATTTTTAGGCTAAGTGGAAACTCTTGTCTGCTACAAAGTTAAAGCTGATTCGTTTAGGCAGCTGCAGAATTAAACATTTTGGAAGACAGCTATTCCAGCTGCTGCTGTTGTGGGAATATTAAGGCATTAATAGGTTTTGGGGCAGTGGAATTACAGAGGGAAACAAACATGTCACATCTCTTCTTGTGTGTGTCAGCAGCCCTTCTCATCTTAAATTTTTTTGGGGGAAATAATCTGTACTCTTTGGTTTAGATGATCATTACTTTAAGACTTCAAATAACCTGATAGGATTTTCTTTCATTTAAAAGTAAAATACCAAGTCTGGGTGTGCTGCTCTGAGCCCTTTCTGTAGCATCCCAGGGGAGGTGATAGCCCAGCAAATCAAATTTACTCAGACCCTACAGGAAACTAGCATTTGTCCTGTCATGGAATAGATATATTTTTGCAGAATTTAGGTCTGTGTGCAGTTGGTAAATCAGTGTGATTGCTATTTAATTATGTGCCATTAATGAGCTCGTGCAGCCACTGAGCTGGGAGTGTTTGTCTGGGGTGAGGGAACCTTCCTTGGGCAGCGATCAGATTTAAGTCAAGTAAACCATAAATGGGGTGTGCCCTCCCAAAAGTGAAGCTTTCACAAGGTTGCTGGTTACAAACTAACAAATGTAAAAATTACACTGGGATGGGGACTAGGAAGAGGTTAGTTTGTGTAATAATTTGCTGCTAACAGTGCAGCAAATATTATTCCAATTTTAAAAGGGCTGTTTAAAATTTCAGAGGTACCAAACAGCCAGAGCCTTGACAGCCTGTTTTCTGTATTGCATTAAAGTTGCTTCTTCTTCTAAAAAGGATCACAAACCTGTATTTTAATGACCCATTTAAAAACACAGATTATTTGTTAGCCCTTCTTTCATTTTCCCAGCAACATAATAGCTGTCATTCTTCTAAATCACAAGCACTCCTTAGGAGACTTCCCCAGCCTGGGCTCAGCTGGAAGCAGGACAGGAGCTGAATTTGGTGCTTATTCCCCTTTTAGGAGGGTGTGAATTGCAGTTTTTGTGACACTGTGTGCAGCCAGGCTTTCCATGCAGCCCTTTGCCAGCAGAGAGCTGTGGGATAACTCCTTTGGGATTTAGGGCAAGGCATGGATGGGCCAAAGCACAAGAAGACAGCTGAGCTCACTGCTGATCCGTGGCTTGGACAGGGCTGGAGCCCCAGAGAAGTTCATGGAAAATCATTTCATTTGAATGATGCTGCTTGAAATGGCTCCAGAGTGGACAGGGAATCAGGAAGGAGGCAGAGGTGAGCTGGAATGCAGTCATGGAATTTCTGCTTGCTTTCCTCTGCCTTGGAGAGGGATGGAAGAAGTCAGCCCCCCTGGAAGCACAGCTTGGATTGCTCCTCTGGAATAATGGCAGTGCTGGGAGGGGAGGACTTGGGAGGGGTCTCTGGGACCCTGGTGTCCAACAGGATCCCCTGCAGCTGCTCGCCCTGGGCCATCTGCAGTCAGGTCTGGGATGTCTCCAAGGAATCTCCTTCCTCTCCATATTTCTGGCTGTGGATATTTCTCCAACAGCTCTGCCTTTGGTCTGGGAGCTCTGCTTTTTTTCTCCCTGATCTCCATGACTTTCTGTCATGCTCCCTTTGATGTCAGAACAGCTTCTACTCAGCTGCAGGGCTGCGGTTTGAGAAGAGCAAGGAAAATTTGCTGTGCACACAGGATTGCACAAGGCTTATCCATCTCTTTCCTGGATGGGTGTTCCAGCACGTACTCATGCAAATGATTTGTAAAAAGTTCAATAGATTTTGGTAGCTAAACTGCCAGTGATAACATCCAACATTTCCAACTGGGAGCCTTGAAATGAAACGTGTGCGTCAACGTGAGGCTGATTTCTGGGAGCCCAAAACACACATGTCCTGCCTTTCCATCCTGGAATGGCCCAGGGCAGGGAGCTCTGCTCCCATCACCCTGAGTGCCATTTGGAAAACAAAGGCAGCAGCCCAGCTGTCCATTCTTTTGGCCACATGTGTGATTAATCTCAAGTTGGAGGGAAAAAGTGAAGTTTGCCATCTGGCGAGGCTGTGGCCTGGAGCAAAGCCCCGTTTGCAGCTCTTGGTGAGGCATTGCTCACAGTGCAGTTCTGGGAATCAGAGTGGAAAAAGAGGATAACTGTGTCAGACTCTAAACTTGCATAAAATCACTCAGATGGCTCATTAAAGGAACCACTGGGAGATACAAGTGCATGAAATTTTAGAAGCTTTTCGAGATGGAAATGTGGAACTCATTTTTGATGATATAAAATCCAGGAGAATTTCTGTCCCAGAACTCCACACCTGGACAGGCTTTTGGAGATGTTCCCCAGACAGCACCTATTTCATTTTGTGAAATGGCAAAGAAATTATTCCAGCAGGTTTGCTTCAATTTTATTTGCCTCCCTGAGCTACCCTGTGGTCTGGAGCATGTGTGTGGAAGTGAAAGCAGAGACACTTTCCCTCTTCCTTATGATCCCTTAAAAACCAGCACAGCCCAGTCATGCAGGCCCTGTGAAGTCATTTTGGCATCAAGGAAGAACGATGGGATGGAGCTGACACTTGTGCAGTTGGATTAATAAGAGAGGAAGCAGGAACTGGTGGCCACGAGTACAAGTTCCAGCTGGGAAAACTGTGGCTGTGAAAAATCAACAGGAGGGGAGGGGGAGACTCCCTGCAGAGATGGAGGGAGTGGGTAAAATCTCAGCAGAAAAACATAAAACTTAAAGGAATTAGGACAAGGGGCAATGGTTTTAAATTGAAAGGGGAGATTTTGATTTGGTGTTAGGGAGAAATTGTTCCCTGGCAGGGTGGGCAGGCCCTGGCACAGGGTGCCCAGAGCAGCTGTGGCTGCCCCTGGATCCCTGGCAGTGCCCAAGGCCAGGCTGGATGGGGCTTGGTGCCACCTGAAATGGTGGAAGGTGTCCCTGCCCATGGCAGGGGTGGCACTGGATGGGCTTTAAGGTCCCTTCCAACCCAAACATTCTGGAATTCTGTGATGAATTCCACATGAATGAATGAAGAAATGATGAAGAAATTAAGAAATCATTCTAACTTTTTAGATGTAAGGCTACAGCCAAAGGGTACCTAGGGCACCAGGAGGGGAGGATGGCATCAAGGTGAAGCACCTTAAGAGAAGTTCTACATTTACAACAAATTAAATTAAATTTGGTGTTGCTGTCTGAGGAAATACAAAGTAATAACTGCTGACTGGAGCTGCATCACTTACGGAGAAAAGGAATTTCTCTCAAAAAGAATAATTACATGGCAAAAGCAGGGTCCTACTTGAGATGATATATATTTTACATATATACAATGCATCATTTCAATTTTCTCCTGCATTATTTAGTAAAAGGAGAGGTTTTATGGGGAAAAGCACCTGATGGTGGCTGTGAATTCCTCTCAGAAAACCCCAGATTTCACTCAGGGGAGCAGAAATGGGGTGGAAGGTAATGTAAGCATCAATGAAAAAATCCCATTAGAAATATTTTATGCAGTTTGTAATTAATCCAGTTATGGTATATATTGGATTATTATTTTTTCCTTTCTGACACACTTAACTCTCCAGAATTCCTGAAGGACTGGGGGTGCAGAAGCCCATAAGATGCTGTGGAGGAAAGCAGAGGCTGTTTGTGGTCTCAGTCTGGTTTTGTGATGCACCACTTCCTTTTTTTCCCTTGTTCCACAGCTAAACATTGATCCCAGTTGCTGTGGATGGTGTTTCCTTGGGTCAGGCTTTGTAGAGAAGCAATTTAACTTAATAGAGAAGCAATTTAACTTTCAATACACTCACACCAGCCTAGTGAGGGGGCTTTTTTTTCCCCATTTGTACAGCAAAATCAACTGCCTAATCCTGCCAGATTAATAGCTCCATGGATTGCCCTTTTCTAAAGGTGGGAATAAAACTCCTCCTTGCTTCTCTGCTGCCAGTCTGGGGAGAAAAGGGAAATAATTCCTTACAACTCCTTATTTTATTGCAAGGTTAATCTGGTCTGCCGCCTGTGAGAGGGTAGTGGGTTCATTCTGCAATTACTGGGTTGCAACAGGAAAAGCAGTTTTTGGAATTTCCAGTTTTTGGAATTCCCTGCTTGATAGAGTTGCATTCCAAGGAATGCTTGATAGCATTCCTTGGAATGCTGTCAGAAGGAGCTGCCTCGTTGATCAAGCTTATTGCAGCCTCTCTGAAGACACAGAGGCCGTTTTCCAGGGAGGAACAGGAGTCTCCTGCTGAGGTGGGCACACCCTGCCCCCCGAGTGATGCAGTGCCCTCCCTGTGTTGCAGTGACCATGCAGCAGGTGGCCAGGACGGTGGCCAAGGTGGAGCTGTCGGACCACGTGTGCGACGTGGTGTTCGCGCTCTTCGACTGCGACGGTGAGTGAGCGCCCCGAGCTCGGCCGGGGGCAGTCAGCCCAGGGGAGAGGGCTCTTCTTGCCATGCTCTGTGCCCCTGGATCTGGGCTGATCCCCTGTCGGACTATGCCCTCGAGAATTCTCTACAAATCCATTTCCCACATTCCCCCTGCCCTTTTGGGAAGGGTATCCGATGGTAGCCACCCTGTGAGATGTGCCTGTTGGAGCACAGATGGGAGGGTTTGGTGTGCACACTTTGCTCCTTTCCCCCCTGCTCCAGAGAACTCCAGTTGGTCTAACAAAATGAACTGTTGTCCTCCAGTGTTGGAAACGAGCCGGGCTGGGGCTTTATCTCCAAAGTCCTAGACAAATGTCAGCTTAATTTTTAATTAATTAATAGCAGCTCTGTGCCCTGCTGGGAAGCTGGCTTTGCAGAGGGTGTGAGTGCCCTGGGGTAGTTGTTGTCACACTGAAGCACTCCTGGCTTGATTTAATGGGAGTTACTGGAGTCTTTGCCAGGTGACAGCAATTCTGATTTGGAAAGAAAGAAATTCTGCATTTGCCCAAAAGTGCCAAGCCAAAATCAGAGTCCTGGCTGGCACCCTGCTTCTCTAGCACAGACCCAGCATCTGGCAGCTCGGAGTGGCAGCACTGCTGCATAAGTATGAACATCAAAAAATGTATTTAATTCATTTATTCCTTTTTGTCCCTCTTGGTTTCAGCTCTGCCTGCTCCTTTGCACCTCCCTAAGGTCACATCTCCTGTTTTATTTTCCTCTGTGCTTCAGTACCACTGTTGTGATACAATCTTCACGCCAGATGATCAGGCTGGAGATTAGAGTGAGCTGAAGTGTATCCAAATATTCCCTGTTTGCCTTCTCTCAGAGGAGAATCTCCTAAATATTTTGATAGCAAATCTTCAGGGAGAAAGATTCTGCTTGTCAGAGGAGTCCCCCAAGGAAGAAAACAAATAGAAAAGCAGGCACAGACGTGTTTTTATTATTATTATTTTGTTATTTTCACTCCATCAGTGTTTACAGACATTAAAAACCTGCAGCACTGAGGGAATTTTGATAGTTGGCTGGAATTTTGCTGCACAGTGGCTGCATTCTCATAACCTCATTCATCAGATCAACAAATCTTCCCTTCCACTCTATTAGAAAAATTTGTGCACCCACAATTTCCTAAACCCCTTATAAAGCAGTGTTTCCTGGGAGGACAGGGACATTTGGTTTGCATTTGCTTTTCTGCCTCCTGCAAGCATCCGTGGGGCTGGGATTTAAACTCTGTGGCTCAGGGACCCTTGCTCAGCAGGATATTTTGGGAGGTGGGAGCCAAATGTGGTCTGTTTCTGCAGGAAAGGACACTCATGGCTGCTGCCCTTTAGAGCTGTCATTTCAAGGAGGTTGGTGGTGGGTCTCTGATTATTTTTCCTCCTTTTTGCAGGGAACGGGGAGCTGAGCAACAAGGAGTTTGTTGCCATCATGAAGCAGCGCCTGATGCGAGGCCTGGAGAAGCCCAAGGACATGGGCTTCACACGGCTCATGAGGGCCATGTGGAAATGTGCCCAGGAGACAGCATGGGACTTCACAGCTCCCAAGCAGCAGTAGCAGGGTTGGGAAGGAGCACCCCCATTCCCTGGATCAGCCCATGGGCACAGCAGGTTGGCACCAGGCTCTGGAGAGGCTGTGCCAGGAGGATTTTGTCAATCCAAGTTAGAAATCCACGCCTGCTGTATTTGCTTGCTGCTGGCTCCTCCATCTTCCTCTCTCTCAGGAACAAGGAAAGGACTTTTACTGCCACCACCTCCGTGGCATGGTGTGCCCTGCTCCAGAGCTGGACCCCAAATCACCTTTATTTAACGCTATGAAAAAATGGCATGGGGGGTTCTTTTGATTCTCAGCCTGCTCCTGGGAAAAGCCAGGCAATTCCTGGATTTTGTGGATTTCAGCCAGCCAAAAGCTGCACCTGCTGCAGAAGGGCAGCTAAAAGCTCCTGCCCTTCCTGCCTTGCACCAGCATCCTGCAGCAGGAGCTCCCCAAGTGATTTCCTGAGTGGGGAATTGTCCCGGGGAGGGGCTGGCAGTGGTTTGCCGGGTGCTGTCCTCTGTAAAATACCATGTAAAGATCTTGCTCCCAGCAGCCTGGCTCTGTCTCTCCATTGCTCCACATCCTCCCCCAGGGCTGGGGCTGAGGCACTGAAGATGGGCTGTTCTGGGAGTGGGGGGGAAAGCCCTGTGACTTCCAGAGCTGGAAGGACCAAGGGGATCAATCACTCCTGGAATACTTTCTGTCCCTAGCACAGGAAAGACATGGAACTGCTGGAGAGAGTCCAGAGGAAGCCACCAAGGTGATCACGGGGCTGGAGCATCTGTGCCATGAGGAAAGACTGGGAGGGCTGGGATTGTTCAGCCTGGAGAGAAACTCCAGGGTGACCTCATTGTGCCCTTGCAGTGCCTGGAGGAGGTGACAAGAAACATGGAGAGGGAATATTGACAAAGGCCTGAAGTGCCAGGACAAGGGGGAATGGCTTCCCACTGCCAGAGGGCAGGAATGGATGGGATATTGGGAAGAAATCCTTCCCTGGCAGGGTGGGCAGGCCCTGGCTGTGGCTGCCCCTGGATCCCTGGCAGTGTCCAAGGCCAGGCTGGACAGGGCTTGGAGCACCCTGGGACAGTGGAAGGTGTCCCTGCCCATAGGAATGGATGGGCTTTAAGGTCCCTTCCCACCCAAACCACTGTAGGATTCCGTGGTTCATACAGGGATATTGATCCTGATCACTCCAGCCAGAGTTCTCCTCCTCTCCCCTCATTTCCCAGGCTCCTTCGGGGTGGTTGGGGTGCGGGTCCCTGTGCTGTCACACACAGAGCAAGGTGGGAGTGCAGGTTTGGCCCTTCCTGCCTCAGATCTTCTTCCCTCTCTCCTGCCTGCTCCCCATGGCCAGCCTCCAGGGATCTGTCACCTGTCTGAATTCTCTTTTGGAATGAAGGTTGTTCCGACCATCCGCACTGCGAGGGAATGTGAAACAATGTCACACAGCCCCGAACAGCCCCATCCCTCCTCTGCGTCTCCTTCACCCGTCCCGGGCACGGTCCCTGCAGCCAGGACCTTTCCAAGGGCAGGAACTCCATGAGGAGGAGGAGGAGGACTCGAACCTGAGAGAATTCCTCAAGGGCTTGTTCATAACCCTCCCCTTCCGAACCCCCTCCGAGCGCAGGATCCCAGGCTGCTCTCTGGCGTCCCCTCCCCATGTTGGGGGCCGGCTGGAGCCCCCAGGTCTCGCTCCCCAGGGAATCCCCTCCCGTTGCCCAAAATCCCGCTGCCTCCCCGGCCCCAAAAACCTCCTCCGGGCCCGCCCGCCTGAGGGCAGGGCTCGGTGACGTCATCCATCCGCGCCCGGCCCCGCCCCTCCGCCCCCCCGCCCGGCCGCCGCCGCCATGGAGTCGAACCGGGACGAGGCGGAGCGGTGCATTGGCATTGCGCTGGCCGCCGCCAAGGCCAACCAGCCCGACAAGGCCCGCCGCTTCCTGGAGAAGGCGCAGCGCTTGTACCCCTCGCAGCGGGTCCGCGGTGAGCGCCGGGCCGGGGACGCGACGGGGGGCCCGGGGGAGCGCGGCCTGCGCGGCCGCCGCCGAGCCTGACCTCTCACCTTCACGGCGCCTGCGCGGTGCGCGCGGGGCACGCCGGGAAAGCGAGTTCATCGGGGGTGCCGGGGCGTGTCCTGGGGTCTCGGGCTGCGGTACCGGCCGGGAGCGGGTACCGGTGGGCAGGGACCGGGTACCGATGACCCGCGGCTTCTGTCTTTAGCGGGGGCCCCCAGTGAGGAGGGTGCTGGGAAGGGAAGGGGGACCGGCTCCGCGCTGCTGAGGGACCCCTGAGCCGCGGGCACAACGCCCGCTGCTGCTGGAGAGCGCTGGGGGAGGGAAGGAGCTCGGCAAGGCGAGGGAGAAGTTCTCGGGGGGCTGTGAAAAGGCCTTCTCCTCCTCCTATTGCTCCTTTCCTACTCCTCTACTCCTTCTATTCCTCCTCTTCTCCTCCTCCTGTTTGTCTCCTCCTTATATTCCTCCTTTTCTTCTCCTATCGCTCCTTTCCTATTCCTCCTCTCCTTCTCCTATTCCTTTCCTCCTGGTTCTCTCCCTCTCCTCCTTCTGTTCTTTTCCTCCTCCTCCTGTTCCTCTCCTCTTCCTGTTTTTCTCCTCCTCCTCTTATTCCTGTTCCTCTCCTCCTCCCATTCCTCCCCTCCCTCTCCTATTCCTCTCCTCCCTGTCCCTGCATTCCCCCTCGTGTTCCTTTTCTCCTCATCTCTTCCTCTTATCTGTTCTCTCCTCCTTTCCTCCTCCATTCCTCCTCCTCTCCTCTTGCTGTTCCTCCTGTTTCCATCGTGTTCCTGCTCTCCCTGTCCTGTTCCTGCTCCAGCAGTTGCCACTGTTTGCAGACAGACAAGCCATGGCTGAGCCCACGCTCTCACACGTGGAGCAAAACAATCCTCCAAGACTTTCTGCCAGATTTTCGTTTGTTTCCATCATTTCCTGAAAGCTTTAATTCATATGGGAAGTGGTTAGTGAAAGCAGCCAAACTCAGTTCTTTCCCTGCATGTTCTTACATGGCAGAATGTTATACACAGGGCTGAAAGTTTATTTTTTTTATTTTCCTTTTTTTTTTTTGGCTTTGACCTCATCTGAGTTTGGATTCTTTGGCTGAGCTTTGCAGCTTGTTTGCCCCAAGGCTTCCTGTAATCCTCTTTTTGGTTGCACCAGGCCTCTTCCCTCTGCCTCAAACACAATGTGTGCTGTGGTGTGGTTTTCCTCCCCTCCCTTTCCTCCAGAATTTATACTTTGGTGAAATTACTGGGTAGGAAAAGTGACTTTTGGAGGAGGGCAGAGCTGGGGGGAGGCAGCAGGGAGGGTTAATGTTAAACACAACGTGCTGACTTGTGGCCAGACCCAACCAAGTTTCTCATCCAAGGACCCTTTGCTCCTTGTCCTGCTGGCTCTGCAGTTGGGAAATGCTGCCAGAGATCCCACGGGGGTCCCTGAGCCTCTGAGGAGCTCCTGGGAAATCTCTTCCCCAGGAGTTCCCCAGGGTTTGGCAACACTCAGCACCATGGCCTTGCTCAGCCAGTGCTGCAAACTCTGACCCTGGCTGGGCTTCTTGGGGTCAGGGAAGGGTTTTGCAAGGGGATTGCAGCAAAAATCTCCTGTGTCAGGGCACGTTGGCTGAGACACAGTCACACTCTGGTCACCTTTCAGTGGGAGTTGGGGAAAATGTATGGGAAGTTGGGCAGATGTTGGCTAATAAGGGAGGAAAAGTGCTCTGTGGCACGTGCTGGGGGGGAACTGAGTTGGCAGAACTGAATTCTGCACTCTCTGCTTCAGTGGTTCATGAATTTGTGCTGTGCTGGGGCTGCAGAGGATGCAAAAAGCAGCAGATTTGGGGCTGTACAGCAAAATGGGACCGACCTGTGGGCAGCTCTGGGTTTCTGTGCTTGGGTTTGGGAAATGCACTCTGGGCAGCAGGGGGGGGGGATTCTGCCCCTCTGCCCCTGGGCTCAGCTGAGACCCCACCTGCAGAGCTGCCCCAGCCCTGGGGCCAGCACAGGAGGGACCTGGAGCTGCTGGAGAGAGCCCAGGGGAGGCACCAGGATGGGCAGAGGCATGGAGCAGCTCTGCTGGGAGGGAAGGCTGGGACAGCTGGGGCTGTGAGAAGGGTGTGTGGAGACCTCACAGCTCCTTCCAGGGTCTGAAGGGGCTACAAGAAAATTTGAGAGGGATTTCATCAGGAACTGGAGGGCCAGGACAAGGGGGAATGGCTTCCCACTGCCAGAGGGCAGGGATGGATGGACATTGGGCAGGAATTGTTCCCTGAGAGGGTGGGCAGGCCCTGGCACAGGGTGCCCAGAGCAGCTGTGGCTGCCCCTGGATCCCTGGCAGTGCCCAAGGCCAGGCTGGACAGGGCTTGATGGCACCTGGGATGGTGGAATGTGTCCCTGCCCATGGCAGGGGATGGGAATGGATGGGCTTTGAGATCTCTTCCAACCCAAACTGTTCTGGGATCAAAATCTCCTGGTAAGCTTTAGGGAACTAAAGCCAAAGCAGCAGGAAGGGGAGTAGGTGGGGGAAGAGCCTCATGAGGTGAAATTTTAAATGATCTGGCAGATTGCTCCATGTTTGGAAGGAGCAAAACCAAAGACTATAATTCAGTGAACACTGAAGCACTGGAAATATGAGGGAGGGAAAAATTTACTTTTCTAAAATAAATTAATTTTAAATTTGTGAAGCACCCAAGCCCAAAAGCTCATCCAGTGAGTTACTGCTCCTTAGCCCACTGTCCTTTGCATCCCTCATCCTCTATTGGCTTTTGGATTCCCGGGTGGATTTTTCTGCCCCCTCTGAGCACTGGAGCCAGATAGGATATCTTGGCTCATCTCTTGGCCTGCAAGTGTTGTTTGCACTTGCCTGAAGAAGGTGATACCCCATAGTGCAAGGTCTGTGGTGTGCAATCCATGGGAGGAGGTGGAACAGCCTTCCCAGTTCTAGGGTCTGGATAAAGGACTGCAAGGGCCTCAGGATGCTGGGGCCTGTGTAAATACCCTGGGCTGGGTTTCGCTGTAGCATGTGTGCCTGTTCTTTTGGATGGGGGGGAAGAAATCAGTCTGATGCTTGGTTTAAAAGATGGTGCTGTGCAGCTGCCAGGGAAATGCACGATGCAAGGATGCTTGGAGTCTCCCTCCGTTGTGTCACCTGGGTGGTTAGGCCAGGCCTGGGTGTTAGACAGTGCCTGAGCCTTGCAAGGAGGAAAAGGGAAGGTGAATTGATCCCCCCAGTAACTGGGAGGGAGGATGGGTTCCACAGCTGCTCCCAAGCCGTAGGTAGTGACAGGAGAACAAAGCGCCCGTGTGAGGAGCTGGCAGCCAGCAGTGCTGCAGCTCTGTCCCCAAAAGGGGAGTGTCCCCATGGGACTGGCAGCCCACAGAATTATTTTCTAAGCTCTCTAAAGATATGGCATCGTCACATCACTTCCCCAGCACTGTAGGCTCTCAAAAGCAGGAGATAAAAGAGGAATAATACACTTTATAATGTGCTGGAGGACAAATTTGGACATGCTTTGCTGTCGAGGAGAGATGGAAGGGAAACAAGGACAGG